CGCGTCCAGACTGCCCCGATCTGCCGACAAACAGCTGATCGGCAGAGCGGGGCAGCCATTTAAATTTAAATGAAGCCGCGATTATTTTAATCGCGGCTTCTTTTCCCTCTGCCGATCTGGCTAATCTACATGCCTCCGTCGAAGGAGGCATGTAGTCTAGACACACCCCTAGATCAAAAGATTTCACACAGCTCTTTTTATCTATGACATAGCTGAGTCTCTAAAGGTCTCTCTAATATTGCCACTGATTTTTCTGCTATATATATTACAACCCAGAATGCTGGTGGGGGTCAGACTGGAAAAAATAAATAAGTGGTATTCTTCCTGTCTCCGTTCATAACCTAATCTCTGTACACTCAATACACCAAGAAGAGACATCACTCACAGTAAGATTGTGCATGTCCCCATAATATGATCATTCCTTTTTCTCTCCTGTTTTGATCAGTAGTGAAATATTCAGCAGTGTTCACATTTAAATTATTATCAGGCTTCAGAGTCACATCCAACTCAGATTAATGGGGAGAGTTCAGTCTTCTCTCAGAGCTATTTTTAAGGCTGCCTGCAGACTCAGGCAGACGTCATTGAATGGATTACTTCTGATTCACGACTGGCAGGTTATTTTCACAACCACAGGACAATTATTTTTCAGTATAAATGCTTCGATTCTGGAGCACAAGATGGCAGCCATCAGGAAAAAGAGCTGGCTTGCTGACCACAAACTGGCCCAACATGACCCCCAGTTCTGGACTAGTGGTCTGGAAGAGCCAATGGATTTCATGGAAGCTAAAATGAATGTTAAAGATGTTAGTTAAGATGTGATTCTGTGCTGAATGAGCCCCATAGATAATGGGGACATTCAACTCTTATTTTCATATTCAATTCAGTTTTGAGTCAAGCTTTTCACATCAACTTAAAGACATAAATTTAACAGCAAGCCAGTAAATATTATTACAAAGTACAAGAAGGCCAATTTATAGCAGCTGAGGCAATGATAACTTTGAATTTCCTGGCTTCTATTCATTTGAAAACACACACACATAAAACCAATTGAGTGTGAAGTTTCTGAAAGTTTCGGCTAAGTGACAAGTTGGTATATTTTACTAGATAAACATTTACTGAGAGATTCCCATTCTAGAGAAATTCAGTTTAAAGAGAGGAGAGGGTTTCCTTTTTTGACAACTTTCCAGAAGTTAAAAAAAAAATCTCAGAACAGAAACAGTAAGTAAAAGGTTTTAAAAATTCAAACATCAGTGCTGTAATTAGTGAGTATAATTAATGCAGTCTGATTATATAGCACAAGATTGGCAGACACAATACTAGGAAATTGCACATAATGGCAAAACCATTACATACAAACTCAAAGCAATATCCTTCAACAGGTGCCTATGGCTATGTATTTAGAAAAAGTATAATTGGCAGTTGATGCATTGTAACTGGTCAAACAACCTGCACTGGGGATCTGTGCCAAACACATTTTAATGATGATTTTTTTTCTAGCCTTGATTTATCTTGTGTTTTACAGAACTAAAACTTTACCACCAAGGTAACAATTTGTTGTAAGACTAAGGTTCAGGAGGCTGGTAAAGAGATACTGTATTGGGATTATCATGATGATGAAATCATTGCCCAGACACAGACAGAACCAAACTCAGACCTGCTATAAAAGGGAACATCTGACACTAAAATCAGTGGTCCACAGTGCTCAGCAACTCTCTTAGAATTTCCTAACCAAAATGTTAAAAATGGGTGTCCGTATTCTGGTTTTCAAATAAGCCTGGCCTAGTTTTCTAAAGAACTGAGCATTTCAGATAGATACAGAGAATGGAAGATGATAGGAGTAGAGGTTCTCTGCACCTCCAAAAATCATAATAAGTTCCTGTAGGGAACTAAATATGTATTTAGGAATTTAGCTTTGGAAACCTGTTTTTGAAGGTTTGAGCCATTGCATTTGGGGGGGCATGTTTTGCATGCAGGACTTTTTAAACTCATTGTCAGAACCTGGAGCTGATCCACAATACCAGAAATAATCTACTGGGCTACGTCCAGACTGGCATGATTTTCCGCAAATGCTTTTAACGGAAAACTTTTCCGTTAAAAGCATTTGCAGAAAAGAGCGTCTAGATTGGCACGGACGCTTTTCTGCAAAAGCACTTTTTGCGGAAAAGCCTCCGTGCTAATCTAGACGCGCTTTTGCGCAAAAAAGCCCCGATCGCCATTTTCGCAATCGGGGCTTTTTTTGCGCAAAACAAATCTGAGCTGTCTACACTGGCCCTTTTGTGCAAAAGCGTTTGCGCAAAAGGACTTTTGCCCAAACGGGAGCAGCATAGTATTTCCGCAAGAGGCACTGATTTCTTACATGAGATCGTCAGTGTTCTTGCAGAAATTCAAGCAGCCCAGTCTAGACACAGCCCTGATGTATTACTCACTCAGTATTTGATTACTAATTGTGTGTTCCATTAAGAACAGCTTCCTGACATATACCACCAGTATATAGTATTCATTTTTGTTTTTCATTTCTTTCTGGCTATTCTAAAAAGGAAAGTCAGATTTCAGATTGATTGGGTGACCATGTCTGTCTTACAAATCAGAAAGCTATGGAATCAATTGAGATCCTACGTTTTCCTTCCCCCTCTAGTGCTATTAATTCATAACAACAGTATGCAGATAGCACAAAGAGATTCCACAATAAATAAAGGAGGCTTATACCTCTTTAGAAGGAACCCGGGAGCCTTTCCTTTTATTCCACCATGTTTCCAGCATTGCAATGAAACAGGACAGGACAATCCCAGCAGCTAGGATACAAAACACTCCTGCAAAGCTCTTTATGTCCAGGGCACCTCCTTTTTGTTTGGTATCCACTGATGAATATAGGTCACACTGACCATTCTTCGGCCACCACTTATGCTTCAGTATATCCATGTCTCCATTTTGCTGAAGTTCTAAAATCCTTGGGGAGAAAGTACAGAATCAGTGGTTATGCCAATGATAAATGAAGCTTACGTTTGTACAACTGAAAGCACAGAAGTGCTTGAGAATGTGACCATGCCGCTATTCCATCCCATGCATGTTGAAGGCAAAACAGATGAGTCAAATGGGATGATTAATAAACCAGAAGAGGAATGCTGGGCATGGGGCCCACCCTCTACACTCCTTTTTCTTCTTTTAATTACTCTCCGATGCAGTTGCATGTATTTCCAAGTGCATTTCAAATACAGAATAGCATATTTATTTTTCTTGCTAGCCAATTTCTGTAATTTGAACTTGTTGCATAGAGTGATATTGTGAGTTTTATTAATTTGAAAAGAAACAATTTGCTTTGCAAACAAGGACATTGCTAGTGGGTGCCCTGTGCAAATTTGACCCAAAAAGGGAGAGTTAGTTTTGAAGATTCATTTAATATTCCACTTTAGACCATCCTTAACAGTTTGGCTCCACATTGCTTTAGTGAGAGCCTCTGTTCCCTGAAGAATAGTGATAGAAATGTAGCCGTGTTAGTCTGGGGTAGTTGAAGCAAAATGCAGGACAATGTAGCACTTTAAAGACTAACAAGATGGTTTATTAGATGATGAGCTTTCGTGGGCCAGACCCACTTCCTCAGATCAAATAGTGGAAGAAAATAGTCACAACCATATATACCAAAGGATACAATTAAAAAAAAGAACAAATATGAAAAGGACAAATCACATTGCAGAACAGAAGGGAGATGCGGGGGGGGGGAGGGGGAAGGAAGGTAAGTGTCTGTGAATTGATGATATTAGAGGTAGGGAGAGTGGGATGTTTGTGAGTTAATGGTATTAAAGACAGTTTCCCCAATTATCACCTGTAATACCATTAACTCACAAACATCCCACTCTCCCTACCTTTAATATCAGCAATTCACAGACACTTACCTTCCTTCCTCCCCCTTCCCACCCCCCCGCATCCTCCTTCTGTTCTGCAATGTGATTTGTCCTTTTCATATTTGTTCATTTTTTTAAATTGTATCCTTTGGTATATATGGTTGTGACTACTTTCTTCCACTATTTGATCTGAGGAAGTGGGTCTGTCCCACGAAAGCTCATCATCTAATAAACCATCTTGTTAGTCTTTAAAGTGCTACATTGTCCTGCATTCTGTTCCCTGAGTGAGCCTGTGGAAGATCAAAGCGCATACACCTCCATTCCTTTTACATGGGAAGTGGCTGGTGGCAGGGGACTTTCAAGGAAGTGTCTTAAAGACCATTGATTTATTGGTTAAGCTATGATAGTCATGTATGTTGCCAGACCTTCCAGTTGCCAGGTGTCCAGTTTTGAACTGGACAGTCCAGTATTTGAGCTTTCAGTTCGGGAAACAAATTGAGAAAATATAAATGAGAAAATACAAATGTCCAGTATTTTCTAAATAAGATGTAATGTAGATTGTGATGTAATGTCAAGTGTGTCCGGTATTTTTGTTGAAACCATCTCGCAACCCTACTAGCAACCCTACATACTAACATGGAAACTGCTGGAACTTTCTCATTTAAAGCCAACTATTAGATTTTTTTAACACAAATCAAAAAGAAAAAACAGGCCCATGTCTGCAAATGCTCTGTGCACAACAGTCCAACTGATAATATAAGCAAAATAGACATTGTAGGGTGTGACTCAGCAATGTCTTAATATCAACTGACAAGAAACAAAGAAGGGGCACACTGGAATTACAGAGATCTCATGAGCCCACTATGTACATTTGCATTATGGGGTGCCCCAAAGTCACTGTCACAATGGTCATCAATATAAACACAAAAACATGTATGCATTTTGTGCAAGGATATATATACACACCAAAAATTATGTTATGAAGATCTGTGCCTGGGAGCTGGTCACCAGCAAAGGTGAAAACAGGTTTTCCATCATATAAGAAATGTTCATCTGTCTGGTTGTTTACAGGTTTGTGCTAGTCTATTTGTGGGTCTAAGACAACAATCTGACATCCTTCACCAGGAAGTAAACAGACAGCAAGTTTGCTTCATGAAAGAGGGGTCTAGACTTGGCTGAAATGTTGAAGAGAATTTAGGGCAAAATAAGTTAATCTCCTATCTAAAGAAGCTTTAATCGCTAGCAAGTGCAGTATGATTCTGTGGTATGTGTAACCATTTGTACCCAACAGCTTTACTTACTATCACTTGAATTTATCTTTGATGATAAACTTGTTTTCACTATATATATATATCTAAAGTGCTGTGTGTTAAGATAAGTGGTGATCTTGAACTGAATCTTACAATTTGATATGTACTGTTCCTTGAGAATTTCAGGCATGACAATTCTGTAAGTGTTCATGGATAAGGGGCTGAACACTACAGGGAACACTTTGAGGACTTGGGGGTTGGCAGGTGGCAAGCACAACCCTTCAGAGACAGCGAGCAAGAGTGCAAGTTTGGTTGTTAGTGCTTGGGTTGCTGGGGCTTGCGGTGTTAGGGAGCTGACTCATGGTAGACACATCCTAAAGGCTGGTGGTGGAGATGGGGCTGCCCAACTCTCCATAGCCCTGGAGAGCACCACAAGTTTAACTTACCAGTGCTTTATTACTGTGTCCCATATTGAGCTTTTTTTAGCATGCCAATGTCATGTATTTTGTCTTGCTAATGAAGTTACTGAAACTTTGTTTTGGCGTATAAAAGTTCTTTGGTGACTCCTAAAAGTAAACCTACAACTATGTACCTTTCCATGGAAGCAGAAATAGGAAATCTCAACTAGAGATATAAAGGTTAACTGGTTAACCTTTAATGGGTGAGGCTTACTGGTTCTGGTTAACCAGTAGGGGCGGGAGTAACTCCTTGCCTGCCTCTGTCAGGAGCTACTCCAGCCCTGTTGGGCTCCCTGGAGCAGCCCCTGTCTGTAGCTGGCCCAGACAGCTCCCCCTACCACACTGGCTGCCAGCCCTGTGCAGAGCCCTCAGCAAAGGCTCCCCAGAAGCAGGGCCGGCAGCAGCCCCTGTACCTGCATCCAGGTAGCATTTGTTTGGTCTTTTTAGTCAAAATATTCAAGTTTAAGTCAATAGGAGCTGCAGGTGCTCAGAATCTTTGACAATCTAATTGCTTCTATATAGATGCTGAAGATATGTGGATTCCAGGGTCTGAATCTCAGTACGTAGGTTTAAACCTTTTGGCCTTTGTACTTTTATCTTTGTGAAATACTATATGTCAGATACATAAACCAGTAACAGAAACACAGCATGGGGTGTACTTCTTTTTTCTCACTTGCAGCTCTAAGCCCTAAGGTATGCTATTTTCTCCCTTTTATTGAGTCACTAATACAAAAGCATCTGGAATGAATGCACTGTTCCTATTAATTAAATGATTTTCCATTTGTTCGTATAATTCCTGATTACACAAGACATCTTTTTAAACAATAGAAATTTGCAACAAATATCGAGCTTTAGATTGTTCTGTAAGATAGCCATTCATTCCCAGTTGTATCCTGGTAATGATTTTAACTGACGAGCAATCATCTGTATGGATATCAGATAAGGTTAATAGCTTTAAGGAAAACATAACAAATTAAGCAAAAACTAGGGATACCGTTATACAGTAGGTGTAGAAAATGTAGAGAATGCATTACAAAATTAATGTAAAACAGCAGTTGAAATGGAAAATATGTACCTCAAGGGAAATTATTGGAGCATCAATGGTAACTTGATCAAATGTATTAACTTTATAAAGACAAAAGGCCAAATCTGGGTCCTACTGGACACAATGGCACTTTGTCATTGACACTACCATATTGTGAGATTTGTGAATAATGCCAAATGTTTCTGTAGCTCTGGAATTATTACTTTACAGAGATTTTTGAAAGTGATAAATGTTCTTTAACTAGAATCCCATGGAAACTAATAACATGTAGGCACCAATATGATTTTGTGGTATATGAACTTTCCACAAGATGGCAGTCTGTGCACAAAAATAATTACACTTCTGCTCCAATTACTGTTCTGGGTATATGAACTATACTAATAATTTCAGGCTGTAAACACTCGTTTTTATCATTTTGATATTTGATGTTTATAGTTAATATTTAGTTATAACAGACTAAATACACTTTCTCAGAGGATGGACATGAAACTATGATGTCCACTATGGTTGCCTGTGCGTTTCTGAAACAGCATTAAAATGTTTACAAGTGAACTTTTCTATCAGTACTCTACTCTATGGATACTGCAGTGTTAGAATAGAATAATATAACAATGAACCAACACTTGCTATATAGCTGGTAGTCTACAGACAGGCTTCATGATTTTCATCTGTCCTGAAGTTTTACAATATTAGAAAGCTTGGCTTTAAAATCAAAATCCAGAAAGCTGAATTGCCATAATCTGTTTGACTGAAAAATATGACCTTAAAGTCTGGGTCTTAAAATATTTATCTCTATCATGTAAGCTGTATGATAACATTTTAAAAAATATATAAAGTATAAATGAACATTTTTGTTTCTGTATGACCCTGGATTTACAGCTGTTAATACTACATCACAAATCTAGTGGTT